TGACAGTGTGGCCTTGGGCCAGTCATTTCACCCCTCAACTGTAGAACAGGACCAATAATCGCACCTTCTCCCATGAGGCTGTGGCGAGGCTTAGATGAGCAGCAAAGGTTGTAAATAACAATAGTCACCTTTCATCCAGCACTTACGGTGTGCCAGGCCCTGCTCTAAGCATGTCACAGGTATATTACCATCTAATCACCACTGCAACCCTGTGAGACCGGCCCTGTGTTTTTCATTTTTTTTAATCTTTATTGAGGAATAATTCACAAAAAACACAATTTAATTTACCACTTTTACACAGGACACTAGGATGATTTTTCGCCATCTCCCCTACCTCCTGGCAACCATCAGATTTTCTGTCTCAATGGATTTACCTATTCCAGATATTTCCTATAAGTGGAATCATACAATATTTGCCCTTTTGCGTCTGGCTTATTTCACTTAGCATAATGTTTCCAAGGTTTGTTCACATGGTGGCATGTATCAGAACTTCCGTTTTCTTTATAGCTGAATAATACTCCATTGGAGACAGGCCCTATTAATATCCCCATTTTACAGATGAGGAAACTGAGGCACAGGGAATCACACAGCTGAGAAATGGCAGAGCAGGGATTTGAACTGAAAACAGGCTGATGCCCAAGCCCTCGATCTAAAGCCCCAGGCAAGGCTAGCTTCTGTGAAGGGAACTGCTAGTAAACAGTTGCTGTTGATGCAATAATAATTATTGCTGTCACTGGGGAAATTTGCCACGGGCAATGCTATCTTCCTCAGAATCAGAAGAATGAACAGCCTGCCTGTTTGACTCAACTTTATTACTTCTTCTATTTAAAAATAAAGAAGTAGTTAGCAGGTGCTCAAGATAACTGTTTGTTGAACTGAAACATTTTGTGGACTTTTTAGAAAATACAAAAAAGGGGGGGAAGCACCCGTAGTCTTACCACCCTCCTCTCGCTTTGTTATGCATGTTTATTTTTATTTGAGTTCATAGCTGTGAACATGCTGTGAGAGATTTCTGGAGCCTGCACTTTTGCTTACCATCATTCCACAAGCTTTTCTCTCCTAGGATGATTTTTAATGGCTGCAGAATATTCTATCAAGGGGATGTCTTCTTCACAACCTCCTCTCCCTTCCCCCCCGCTTGGAGTGTTTAACTTCAGCTTCCCATCTTGCAACAAACAGTCTTGGGAATAAAGTTCTTTCCTTATTTGATATGACCTGGAGAAATGAATTTTTAACAGTGGACTTCTGAAACCAATAAGCCGGTGTTGGGGGAGACTTGCGGGGAGGGGGGCGGCAGAAGGCCCTTCTTGGTGTCCTAGTAAGGACCATGCCCGCCCCGAGGTACTTCACCCTGCTTAAGGCCTCCTCCCCTTGAAGGCATTTTTGAGCTTCAGCTTCTGGGCTGAAGGTTTCTTGTTATCTGCTAAAAGTGCCAACCTGAGGTCAGAGACCTAGGATTTTATCTTCAACCCGACACTAGTGGGCTGTGAGACCTTAGGTACATCACTTCCCTTCTGTGGGGCCTCTGTCTGTCAGTTAAGGGGTGGATTATCTCTAGACCCTACCCAGCAGGAAGACCTGATGAGGGAGGGTCCAGTCCCGGCTCAGTTGCTAAGTCACTATGGACCCTTGGTGCCTTGTTAAACTCTCTGGGCTCGTGCAGCAGATTAGGACGGTGGAACCATCAGGCAGGCAGTGGTGAGCTCACTGGCACCCACTTGCCTTATTTACCCCATTAGACTGGGCACTCCAAGAGGACAGATATTCCAGTACGCAGCACAAACTCGAGTATGGCTACACCATGAACAACTATCAATAGCTGAGCAAATAAACAACTTCCTCTACATGAATAGCAAAAAGTTCTTCTCCAATCAATAGGCCCACCTTTTAAGGCTGAATCTCACCAGCATAATTGTTCATCCATTCACTCATTTATTCATTCATTTAAGATTTATTGTGTATCCTCTGGGTCTGGCCCTGCCAACGTATCTGACCTCATCTCCTTCCACCCCTTGGTGTTCCCCAGCTGGGCCGAGCTCATTCCTGCCTGGGAGCCTTTGACTTGCTGAAGCATCTGCCTGGAAGCTCCTCCGTTGGCTCCTTCCATGGTGACGCCCCGTCACTCAAGTCTCAGCTCAGATGTCACTTCCTCCAGGAGACCCTTGCTGGCCACCCCTTCAAAAGGCACAGTAACTCTCTTTCACCTTGTCCTGTATGCTCCTCATAGCACTGAACAACTGTTTGGAAGGATATTGTTTATCTACCTGTTTCCTTGTTCAGTGTCCATCCACTCTCCCTTTAATGCCAGCCCCAAGAGGGAAGGGACCAGGGCTTCTAGATCACCATTGATTCAAGTCCCACAAACGAATGAATACTGGGCACAGCAGGCACAACTGTAAATATAGAGCCTACGTGTATTGAGCACCTACTGTATGCCAGGCACTATTAGAGCCCTTTATATGTAGCAACTCTTGTAATGCACCAAAAAAAACCCTGGGGTAGCAGCAATTATTATTCCTACTTTATAAGTGGGGGGACTGCGGCACAGAGCAGTTGAGTAACTTGCCCAAGGTCACATGGCTAGTACGTAGGGGAACTGGGATTCCCTAGTGCACACTGTTAAGAGTGTGCTGAGCTATGCATGGAGCCCTCGTGGTGCAGTGGTTAAGAGATAGGGCTGCTAACCAAAAGGTCAGCAGTTTGAATCCACCAGCTGCTCTCTGGAAACCCTATGGGGCAGTTCTACTCTGTCCTATAGGGTCATTATGAGTCAGAATTGACTTGACGGCAATAGGTTTTTTTGGGTTTGAGCCATGCATGGGACTGAGTCCCTGTCCTCAGGGATTAAAGGGCGAGCTGGCTAGTCCACAATCTAGGAAGTCAGGGAAGTTAGGGGACACTTCCTGGAGGAAGTAATGTCTCAGCTAAGTCCTGAGGATAAATAGAGGTTTGGTAGGGTGAAGTACAGGGAGTGACATACTGGGCAGAGGAAGCAGCATATGTGGAGGTCAAGAGGCAAGCAAGAGAACAGCAAGCCTGAAGACCTAGAGTAGAGAATACAGGGGTGTGCCATAAGTCAAGGGGTGTGGTGGCCTCAATCCTCCGAGACTAAGGTTTAAAAAAAGTCCCAGAAGGCACTATGTCAGGCAATAAAGCTGGGAAGATGGGGAGGGAACCCCAGATCATGCAGGGCCTTGGCAAGATAAGGGGCCCATTTTTGCTCTGAGATTCCTAAGCCACATCCCAAAGACTGTGCTGTCTCATGACTTGGTGCCCAGAAGCCACCAAGAGCTCTGGAAATTGCTGCTGATGTGCTGTGACTTTGGGCACCTCCATGGGCTTTAGTTTCCCAGCTGGTATTGAATGACCAGTCCCAAAGGGACATCCCTGCTCCATCAGACTTGCATCCCATAAACAGAATGTCATTGACCAATGAGAGCTTAGCATTCCTAGAGTCAGATTCTGGGAATCTCGGGGCCAACTCTTGTGTGTACTGGTCATCTCACGCTTGCTGGGCCAGCCAGTCACCATGGGCTTGACCATGCAGCCTCTGGGTTCGGGGCTGAGTTCTCCTGTTCCTCAGTCATGCCAAGATACAGGAGGGCTGCCCCGGGTTTTGGCCGGATGTAGGATGTAGAGGGGTGGGGGCTGCTCAGATCCTCCTGGAGACAAAGGAGCTGACCTGCAAAGAGTTCCAGCGGGAGCCCCTCTCCCCTCCCTTCCCCCTTCTTCCTTCCCAGTCCACGTGTCTCTATTGTCTGCTCCCCGCTTCAGGGAAAGACACAGCCTCGGATGTGTCAAAACCACCACCCCCTGGCAGCAGGGAAATTAATTACTGGACGATTTTCATTTCCTCTTGCAGCGCCCGCCTGAGCTAGGCACCGGAACAGGACCAGCTGAGCGGGGCTGGGCATCGGCATGGGGGACTTGCTCCCTCCCCACCCCCCACCCCCAGCCGCCAGTTCTGGGAGAAGAAAGTTGAACCCCAAACTCCAGCAGGAACCTAATCAGGAGAGGGGGGACTTCCTCTAGTTAAAGCTGAGGGTCCACACTGGCCACTTCAGAACCGGGGAGAGGGAGAGGGAGAGGACTGGGGGTAGGAGGGCCACGCTGGAGAGCTCACGCTCTTTTCTTTGCATCCTCTTCCCTGTGTCCCCGTGTGCCTGGACCCCATCTGCTCCAGAAGCTCTCTCTCCTCTCCTCTCGGCTTTTCCCTCTATCTTGCACTTTTCTTTCCCTTTCTTTGCATTGGAGGTGGGCGGGGGGGGGTCCCTTTTTGTGTCTCTGCATCTCTCTTTTCCTCCCATGGGTGTGTAAGTGTGTGCATGTTGCTACTTCTCTCCATCTCTGTCTTTCTTCTCTGTTTCTCTCTTCCTGTATCTTTTTGTTCTTATCTTGGTCTCTCTGCTGCTATTTCTACCTCTTTCAGCCTGTGTCTTTCTCTGTATGTCTCTTTCTTTCTCCGTGTCTCTCTCCTCTCTCTCTCTTTCTCCCTCCTCCCTCTCCCCTTTCTCAGTCTCTTTCTGTATCTCTGCGCCTTTCTTGCCCTCACTTTCTCCCCTCCTGCCCGCCCGCCGCTCCCTGCGCCTCGCCTGCCCCCACCGCCGCCGGTTCAGGGGAACGTGTGCGGAGCAATTGTCCTGGGGGACATTTGATGGATTAGAGCGCTGAACAGTTCCATTGCTAGGGGACCACCTGATCTCCTCCAGCCTGCGTCCCATATAAAGCCGGCAGCCGGAGTGCTGAGCACAGCTCCAGCGATCGCCTGTCTGCGCGCCGCCGCCACCAAGCCCGAGCGGGAGCCCGAGCCCGAGCCCGAGCCCGAGCCCAAGCCCGGGCCGCCACCACCAGTGCCGGCTCCGCGCGGCCGCCAGTCTGCCCGCTGGGAGCTGTCCAGTGCTGAAACCCCGCGCGGCCAGCCAATCGCGCCCGGCTGGCCGCCTCCCCCCACCCCCGGGGCCCCTCGCAAGTGCCTCGCCGAGCCCCCCGCCAGTCGCACCATGCCGCGCTCCTTCCTGGTAAAGAAGATCAAAGGGGACGGCTTCCAGTGCAGCGGGGTGCCGGCCCCCACCTACCACCCCTTGGAGACCGCCTACGTGCTGCCTGGCGCCCGAGGGCCGTCCGGGGACAACGGTGAGTGGGGCCGGGAGGGGAGAATGGAGACAGGAGCTCGGGCCCTCCCCAACTTGGGCCACGAGGAGAGGCGCGCGCGGCAGGGAACCCCGAGAGGAGATTTCCCTGGTCGTGTGCGCCTCCTGGGCTTCCCGAGGCCGGCGGGTGGGGCAGGGGCTAGGTCCCTACAAAGGGAAAGTCGCAGGGTCGACCATCCCGCAGCCACACGCCAGCCGTACTTTGAAAGTTGTGGCCCTAGAACGGGGTTGGGTTGAGTAGGAGGTGAGAGAACAGAGAACGAAGAGCGCCCATAAAGGGCTAATGCACAAGGCAGTCTGGGGATCCCCTCTTCGTGGAACAGGGAGGGAGCTGATGGCCTGAGTGCGCCCAGGGTGGGGAAGGTAAGCCAGCCCAGACCACCAGTCCCTGCCAAGATGGGGTTGGTTCCCTGGGGGTAGTCGGAGGTGCCCTTACTCCCTTCAAATCTGCTCCCCCTGGTGATGCCAGACAAGTGTTCTCAGGCCCTTGTAACAACTCTTTTGTTACCCTCAGCCACATGCCTGCCAAAGGCTGAGCCTGTTCTGGGGTCTGAGAGAAAGAGGGAATTTCTGGAAGGGGTTCCCCAAAGTGGCTCCTGGTCCCTGGGTGTTTTCCCTCCCCATACCCCTCCAGAGCCTGCCCCACTGCTCCTTTTAAGCACCCCCCTCGACACACACACACACACACACACACACACACACACTTCATCTCAGAGCAAGTTCCTGCAGGGACAAGGGCTTGAGGGACAAGAGAGGTCATTCAGGCCCAGAAGGGGTGATCTCTGGAGGGTTGGGGATACAGCAGAGACTGATTCTGTGGACACCTCCCACATCAAGGGGATCACAAAAGGTTTCTCCTCTGATGGCCCCCACCAAGGCAGGGGTCTAGGGAGGAGGCTTCCTTTTGGCAGTGAGGGATCTGGCATCAGATATGGCATTCGCCTTGGGGAATGTGTGTGTGAGAAAGAGAGAGAAAAAGAAGGAAGAGAAGAAAGGGCTAAGGATGAGGAGAGAGCTGAGATGGCAAAGGCAGGAGACCAGGAGGGTGGGGGCTTCCATTTCAGGGATTTCCAAGCACTTTACCCACATTCCGTCACTCTGCCAAGCCAGGTAGTGACAGGGTGCTCGGCAGAGGACTCTTTGACCTCATCAAGGTCAAAGAAGTTAGGGAGTGATCAGGGCTACAGTGCCAGCCCCTCAGCCCCTCACCTCCCTCAGATCCCCAACAGAACCCCCTTTTCCTCTGTCCACGTGTCCCCTGCTCTGCTGTCCTCTTTTCTTGAGCCTCTTGGGGTCAATGACAGGAGCCCATGGATATGGCTGGGCTTGTCTGAGTGCTGGCAGGACAGAAGGTGGCCCTGGGGCCATGCCAGGGCTGGGGATTTGTGTGCTGGGAGCTGGGTAGAAACTGAAATGTCTGCAAGACTGTGATGTGGACCCCCTGAGGGACTGACACAACGATCTGGTTTCCCACCCCGAGTCTCCTTGGTCCTGTCCCCAGGCCAGCTAAGGAAACCCAGAGAAGCCCAGATTATTTTGCATGCACAACCAAACTGGAGACTGTCCCTCAGGAAGGAGGCGGGAGAGTGCCTTGACTTGAATTCAGTCCAAAAAAGCTGAGCATGGAGCCCTGAGCAAATGATGGGAAGCGGGGTCTAAGCAAAGCCTTCAACAGGGGTGTTCCTGTAAAGGTTCCACCAAGTTTGACCCCCTAGACCCACTCGTCTTTGGGGCTTTCCCCAAAGAACTTCAGACCAACTCCCTGGCCTCCAGGGAATCCTGAGGCTGTCCTAGTAGCCAGATCCCTGGCCTGGAACTCAGATCTGGGCTCTAGATCTCTGACTAGCTGTGTGACCTTGGGCAAGTGTCTTCCTTTCTCTGCTCCCCAGTCTCCCCAGCAGTGAAAGGAGTTTGGATGGCATGAACTAAGCCAACTCTGACAAGCTCAGCTTCTGTGAAAGTCAAGTGTGGGGTGGGAGGCACTGGAGATGCCTAGACAAGAGTCTAATAGAATACTAGGAGGCCATTGTCAGGGTTTCTGTAGGGCTCCATTTAATATCTGACGCCTGGTTCAGGGTGGCAGAGCTTCTGGGACCTGGAGTTTTTCTTGGCTTCAGTCTCTGCAGGCTGCCCCATGGTGAGGACAGGCACCCTGGCCTGGCGGCCTTGGCAGTGTCTGCAGTGGACAGCATCAGTGCAGGAGACCAGGGGGTGACCCTTCACGCCTGGGTATGGCTGGGGAATTCAGGCTCTGCCCGGTCTTGCCTGCTTCCAGGCCAATCGTGGGGTGTGGCCAGACTGGGCAGTGAGAGCTCCCCCACTCCATGGATAGGTAGGGCTACCTAGGGTTCTCAGAGAGCTGGCCAGCTCCTGGTGGTCCGTTGTCTCCACTCTGCCGGAAATAACCTTGCTGAGCATTTGAGGGAAGTGTGAAAAATTGCTGAGCCGACATTTTTCTCTCCCAGCATGTGTAAGTGTGCTGGGTAAACAAGGAGAAAGGGGGGGGGGAGGTGAGGAGAGGGAGAGTGGGGAGGAGGAAGGGAGGAGAAGGCAGGGAGGGAGAGGGGAGGGCCTGGGGCTGGAGATAGTTCCAGTTATTAGAAGGATCTTCTTACAAGCCATTCCTGCAGCTCTAGCTGCAGGGCCAGGATGAGACTCGCTGGAGGGGAATGGGGGGGAGTGGGGTATGGATGCTTTGTGAATATGGAGTTCAGGGGAACCTCAGGTTCCTAGCTGATGTAGGACCCCAGATTAAAGAGGTGTACCCCCAGCTCAGGGAATGCCTGAGAGTGCTGGAGAATTCCTGAAGGACTCCTCCTACGGCGCGCGTGCGGGCACACACACACACACACACACACACAAGCAATGCTCTTCCTTGCCGCCCTACCTCCCGGTTCTCTTCCCTCTCAGCCTCCACAGGGCTGGGCAGAGGGTGCAGCAGGTGTGCCTAGGCTGCCCCCAAACCCACAGAACCCCTAACCAGGGAAGGGGAAGCCCCCAAATGGAAAAACCTCCAGGTCTCTCTGCAGAACTCCCTGATCTAATTTCATCATCCCCTCCAAGAAAATGCTTCTTTTTTCCCCTCCTGCTCCTTTGCTCCGCTGCTGTTTCTTGTCCCCCTGGAGCTCCCCTTCCCCTCATCTTCCCGGGTGATTCTGAGCACAGATCCAGTCTCTCTGAGATGCCAGCTCACGTCCTTAGACCCTCTCAGAACCTCATCCTCCATCTCCACCGAGCCTACCCCTCAACGACTACCCTTCACAGACCAAGCCCCCAACACGAGGTGCTGGGGACTGAGTCACCCCAGTGAAGGCCGCTGCTCATTCAGCTGCATGTCACTGGTCTCTGTGGGTCCCTGGCGTGCCCACCTCCCCTCAAACCCTAGCTCTGAACTCCAGCTGGGAGCCAGGTCCCCCTTCCTCTGCACCCCCACCCCAGCCTGCCCCCATATCCCCTCAGAGTTCATCTGACCAGGCTGATGAGGGATCAATGCCAATCCAATAACGCGGTTGTCTGCCCTCCGCAGCTACATTAAGCCTCCCCCAGTAGGCTGAGGAAGCTCTCCTGCATCTATCCATAGGCTTATCTAGTTGACCACATTACACCAGCGCCCGCCTCCTTTCACTCCGTCTGATGGCGCCGGGCAGTCGCTCCAGGCCTGGGAGTGTGGCTGAATGTCCCCAGCTTCTGCACATCTACCCCACGCCTCAGAAAGTCCATCTGGGGAGCAGAAATGCAAAAGGGCTGCCCCAGTCCCTTGGCAGAGGGAGCCCAGAGAAAGCTAGAGAGGTGCCCAAGGACACACAGCAGGCCCATCGCGGTCTTCTATAACCACCACCTCTCCTGGCATCTTCACCTTGGTGCAGGGTCAAGGTCCATGCTAAAGACATGTAAGATTTCCAGGTTCAAAGTCTAGGTCCAGGTTGAGGTCCAAGTCCAACATCCATGTTCTATGTCAGGTCTAGGACCAAGTGCAAAGTCAGGTCCAAGGTCAAAGTCCAAGGTTATAAGTCCAGTTCCAAGGTCCAGGACAAATATATGTCCAAGTTCAAGTTTCAATGTCCAGGAGCAGGTCAGGGTTCAGGATCTAAGCCTAGGTCCAAGGCCCAGGTCGACATTCTAGGTCCAGGATCAAGATCCAGGTCCAATTTCTAGTCCAAGGTCATGTCCAGGTCCGTTCTCAAGGCTGGCTGGGTTCAAGCCTTAGACCCACCATTAGCTTGATGTGTGGCCTTGGGGTAGTCTTCCACTACCCCCGCCTCAGTTTTTCTGTTGAAACTGAGCCGTTCAACTTGATCTCTTTCAGCTCTGACCTTCCAAGGACCCAGAAATCTGATTTTCCTAAGAATTAATGGGGCTTACTTAGTAGGAGAGTGGCGTAATGGGGTTAATATGGGGTATAGAATCTGGAGACCATGGTTCCCCCAATGCCTGGAGTCACAGGGGAACATGAGGGACCCAGCTGAGCTTCCATGCTTCGGACAGCCTCAGTTTGTGATCCCTGAGAGCAGGCAGGAAAGTACACCAAGTCCCTATGTCAAGGCAGCAATTTATACATCCCAAAGACTCTTAGGGCCACTCCCTCCTACCCCCCACACACAGTGTGGAGAGAGGGCAGAGGAGGACTAGCTCCAATCTACAGAGGGAAAACAGACCAGGAAGGGCCCTTGACCTGCCCAAGGTCATAAATGGTGGACCCCGCCACACCACCCTGGTGGCTGCTTCATCCACATGTTCTAGAGGCCCCATAGCCTGGAGGCTCTCTGGGGGAGGTGGGGGAATAGCAAGACACTGCTGAGAGAGATAAGCCCCCAGACCTCTTGGCCTCCTTCCCTGTGGTGGCCTCCCCCAGAGTGAAGTGTCCACCATCAGTCTTTGAGCAGGGAGGGGGTTGGAATGAGCCCTCTACTCACACCCCTCTGGGGCAGAGAGAGGGCAGGGCATAAAGCAGGGAGGGCAGAGAAGGCAGGGCATTACACAACA